CAATTATTATTATCATTTCAATAAATATTCACGAATTTGCACAAACAACAAAACATATACAAAAAAAACCCTCTCACAAATGAAATGCAACATTTCGCAAAATATGAATGAGGAGTATAAGAACAACCTTTCACGAGCAACAACCACCACTATAAAAATATTTAACCTTTCACCAAATGAAATGTTAGAACATTTCACAAATAAAATAATATTTTGCAAATATAAATCCACTTCTGGAGCAGAAGATTTATATTTGTGACAAAATGACATTTGCAAAGTGCCTTTCGTGTCGGGAAGGCCTCGACGTCCCGAGGCTCTGAACGTTGGGGGTCAGGACCCGAGGGTGGGGGAGTGGAGGGTCGGGGGGCGGTGGGGGGGGTTGGGAGGGAGGGCAGAAGGGGGTAGGAGGAGGGCGGCTGAAGGCGCGGTCAAAAAGGAGGGTCTTGAGTCGTGCCTTGAAGGAGGAAAGAGAGGGAACGAGGCGAAGGCTTTGCGGGAATGGCGTTCCAAAGGGTGGGGACGGAGAGGCTGAAAGCCCGGTAGTGGGGTGGGTCCCGAGGGGGACCTGGAGCGGGTCGGAGTTCTGCCGAGCGGAGGGGGCGGACAGATTGATAGGCGATCATGCAGCTCAGCGATGTAGGAGGGAGGGGGCAACGTCATGGAGGGCCTTGAAAGTGAGGACGAGGATTTGAACTGTCATCCTCTGTGCGATGGGAAGCCAGCGGAGCCGGGCGAGGATGGGGGGCGAGAGGGTCGCGGAGCCCGGTGCGGGAGAGGGCACGGGGGGGGGCAGAGTTCTGGATGATCTGCAGCCCGTGGAGAGAGGAGTTGGGGGGGGGGGGGGGGCCGACGCCGACAAGCCGGGAGTTTCCGTAGTCGAGCCTGGGTGTAATGAAGGCGAGTATGTATGAGGGTTTCGGGGCCCGAGGGGTGAGGCGGTGGCGGAGTTGGGCAATGTTGCGAAGGTGGGGGAAGGCAGAGCGGGTCATGGCACGATATGGGGGAGAAAGGACAGTTGGGAGGGTGGAAGAAGACGCCCGGTTCCTGACTGGCTCGCTGAGGAGGAGTGCGCGTCCGTGGAAAAGAGGTAGCCTGGCCAACACATCCCCCAAATAAAATTGGCCACTCGCTCCACGGCTGTTTGTGGGACACTGCTGTGCGCGATCGCCTGCCCCGTTCCGCCCACGCAAAATAGACGATCAGTCCACTCGACAGCGTACCCTCCGAAGCGTTGCGAAGACGTGATCAGGCGCTCTATCGAATGCAAGGATTGTTATTATGTCGGGCTCAAGTCGGTAGCGTTCCCGCCTCTTGGGTCGGAAGGTTGTGCGGTTCGTGCCCCGCGACCTCAGGACTTTGAACGTACACGTTCCAGGAGACCGGGTGTTATCCGTCGGGTGAGAGGTTAAACGTAGGCCCCATCTGCCTGTTCAGGTGGATTTTCACACTATCGGAAAAGTGACTGGGTGATTGGGGGGGGTGGGGGAGGGTCAGACAATCCTCCAGCTCCTTTACCCCATGTCGGATTCCCCTAAAAATAAGAGTCACTACACCACGGTAACTACCGCAAAACACCATGACGTTTGAATGTTGTGCTTTGCCTTCATAACAACATCCGCGTCTGATCAAATATAGTTTGTGAATTCCTTTATGCTTTTATGATAATAATCTTTGCATTTGATATAGCGCTTTTCATGTCTTCTAGACGTCTCAAAGCTTTTATATTTATGTGAGAAAGCATTACATAAATATGTGGTCCATACTTTGGCTGCTGATGGCCGGATAAAAATAATAATGTTCACTCCTTCCATTTGATATAGCGCCTTATCACGTCTTCAATATGTCTCAAAGCGCTTCACAGAATATACTGTAAAGTGAATTGCCTGTACTTTGTGGTAGAATTGCGCACAGCGGTGTCCCACAAACAGTCGTGGATTGAACGACCAAAATTTTTTTTTTACATTTATTTTTGTTTTGAAGGGATTATTACCCCTGAAGAAGCGATCCGCCAATCGACGAACAACCGGGTTCCTACTTACTGCTTGGCGTGTGGAGTAAGGAAACTTGCCCAACGTTTGGTCCTGCCCGGGAATCGAACCCAGTTCCCTCTCGCTTGCGAGACGAGCGCTCTAACTCAGTTACAGGACTCCACGTAAACTGTTTATGTATATTTATGTAACTAATAGTATAAATAAATCCCGGTGTTGTTGTACACGGGGGGGTGGGGGGTGGGGGGTTAGGGGGGGGCTATAAAAACGCAAGCTGTATATTTGCTTTTTACGTGGTTGTAGGCAGGACCACTGACCAAAGTCACAATACCTAAAGACAAGGATGGCAGACAGAAGTCCTATGGTTTTGTCTGCTTTAAGCACACGGAGTCTGTCCCCTACGCCATCTCTCTGCTGAATGGAATCCGGTTGTACGGGCGACCTTTGAACCTGCAATATCGATCTGGTAGGTCGCCTGTGTTTGGTTCTGACAGGATGTGCGGTTGATACGGGGTTTTGTCACCTCGTCACGTCTCCCAGGTGAATCGGAACGCAATAGGGGATGATCGCAGTCGGGCTGGATCAGGTGGGTCGCTGCGACACTGAGTGTGAGAGGAGACGTGAGTCAGTGTGACTTGTGTGTGGACGTGAGTCAGTGTGAGAGCAAGTCATTGTGAGAAGTGAGTGAGTGAGTGAGTGTGAGTGAGTGAGTGAGTGAGTGTGCACGTGAATCAGTGTCAGAATGTGTCATTGTGAGAAGGAGTAAGTGTGACAGTGAGTGTGGACGTGAATCCGTGCTGGAGCAAATTCGTGCAAGAGTAAGTGTGGACATGAGCCAGTGTGAGAGTGAGACAGTATGAAAGTGTGAGAGTGAGTGAGTGTGGACGTGAGTGAATGTGTGAGTGAGATGATATGAGAGCGAGTGTGGACATCAGCCAGCATAACAGTGACCACCTGTCTTGTCTTCTTTTGCAGGCAGTTCACACACAGCTGACACCAACGTATCCTATCCGGGGTCAGACAACAGCCTGTGCAGAACTGCACAGGACAAGTACAATTTAAGGTGAGAATATTGTCGCTGATTTGAAAGAGTCATCCCAGCCCAACATTGTTTATCTGATTATTAGATAACAGGCAGAGACCGGAGGAATATAATAGGGGACAAAGACATGGCAGAGTCATTAAACAAGTATTTTTCTACAGTCTTCACCGTAGAAGACACTGGAAACATACCAAAAATAGAGGACCAAGAAGACAATGTTAGCGAGCAACTTAGGGAGATTAACATTAGTAAAGAGATGGTTCTAGGTAAATTGTCGGGTCTTAAAACCGATAAATCCCCTGGACCGGATGGCCTGCATCCGAGAGTTTTAAAGGAGGTGGCTACTGAGATAGTGGATGGCATGTCTATAATCTTCCAAAAGTCTGTGGATACTGGAAAAGTTCCCATTGATTGGAAGATTGCAAACGTAACTCCACTATTTAAGAAGGGTGGGAGAGAAAATAGGGAAAACTATAGACCAGTTAGTTTGACGTCAGTTGTAGGGAAAATTCTTGAGTCCTTAATAAAAGACGTAGTTATGGGATACCTGGAAGACCATAAAAAGATTAGGCAGAGTCAACATGGCTTTACAAAAGGGAAGTCATGCTTGACTAACCTTTTAGAATTTTTTGAGGATGTATCCAGCAGGTTGGATAAGGGGGAACCAGTAGATGTGGTATATTTGGATTTTAGGAAGGCATTTGACAAGGTGCCACACAAAAGGCTGTTACTCAAGATCAAGGCCCACGGGATTAATGGGAAAATATTAACATGGATAGAAGAGTGGCTATCGGGTAGAAAGCAGAGAGTAGTGATAAACGGATCATTCTCGAATTGGCAGGATGTAACTAGTGGAGTGCCACAAGGATCAGTGCTTGGGCCTCAGCTATTTACCATTTACATCAATGATCTGGACGAGGACATTGAATGTAATGTGTCTAAATTCGCGGATGATACTAAACTAGGTAGCAGAGTGAGCTCTCAGGATGATGCAAAAAGATTGCAACAAGATATAGATAGGCTCGGGGAGTGGGCAAGTAGGTGGCAGATGGAATTCAATGTTAGCAAGTGTGAAATTATTCAGCTCGTAGCAAGAATAAAAGAACAGATTATTTTCTGGAAGGGGAGAAGTTAGATAGTGTTAGTATTCAAAGGGATTTGGGTGTCCTTGTACACCAGTCCCAAAAAGTTAGTTTGCAGGTGCAGCAGCAACTAAGAAGGCGAACGTTAGCGTTCATTTCGAAAGGTTTAGAATATAAGAGTAGGGAAGTCTTGCTGCAACTGTATAGGGCTTTGGTGAGACCGCACCGAGAGTATTGTGTGCAGTTTTGGTCTCCTTATTTAAAAAAGGACATACTTGCCCTCGAGGGGGTGCAGCGTAGATTCACTCGGTTAGTTCCTGGGATGAGGGGACTGACCTATGAGGATAGGCTGAATAAACTAGGGCTGTATTCTCTAGAGTACAGAAGAATTAGGGGGATCTTATTGAAACTTATAAGATTCTTAAAGGGCTGATAAAGTAGACACTGAGGGTCTGTTTCCCCGGTAGGAGAATCTATAACCAGGGGTCACAGTCTTAAAATTAAGGGTCAGCCTTTTAGAACAGAGTTGAGGAAACATTTCTTCACTCAGAGGGTAGTGAACTTATGGAATTCACTACCCCAGAAG